TACTTAAACTTGTACTTACTGACCTCCATAGGTCTTGTCACTTATAAATATAAATCCAATTATAACACAAAATGAATTAATCCAATGCACACCACACTGCAGCATGTTCTAATGTAGCCTGGTTCCCTGTCCCTGTTTTGCTTCGTGTACTCCGCGTCACTAGGTCTCCTGCCTTGGTAAGGATGAGCCAGGGGACCAGGCTAGTTCTAATGCTATTCCATTTGGAAAACCTCGTGCCGTCGATTCCGTCACCTTATCAGATGAAATGGGAATCGGCCGAGGTGTACCAATCGAGTAATCTAAAAAATATGATAATGGGTGACGCAACGTGATGTGATGTAGAATTTACATGTGAAGAACAAATTTTAAATTAATTCATAACAAACAATGTTTTAAAAAAACTGTTCCATCTAGCCTATTCCCAAAAGTATGTACTGTGTGATTGTGGTGTCGAGGGGGGGGGGATTAGTAAATTTAAAAAGGTCCTATTATGAGCAAAACATTTATCAAAATCTAATTTACATCATTAATAGAATGCCCCTCCCCCACTTTTTTTCCCAACATTACCTGTACTATAAGAAAATGTCCATTGAAAAGATGGTTGTCCCCCCCACTTTTTACCACAGTATATACATAGCAAGGAAATATGGGAAAAAATTGGAAGTGAAAAGTAATTTTGCCTTGAAAAAGGTGGCCGCTTTCCCCCCCCCCCCCCATTTCATTTTTTTTTTTTATTTGCTTGTTCATTTTTTTAAGGTAAGTATAAAAAATTTTCTCAGGTTGGCCCCCCCCCACTTTCAAAAACGATGCTACGTGCCTGTAGTGTATAGAATTATTTTGAGGTTTTCCTTGGTAAGCCGCCCGGAGGATTGTGTAGTTAGAGGCAAACACCGTAGTGCGGGTATTACTGTCTCACGACAGCATATTTAGTTAAAACTTGTTTACATTTCTAATCCTCTTTTTGAAATTAATTCACTAGTACTATTGTCTAGTTCTTTCTTGTAGAAGTGATGTTCATGCATGCACTGATTAGAACTTGATATGTGCAAAATAACTTAAGGAAAAATAAAACCCTTCTTATACCCTGAGATTCGGAAACTTATTTTCTTTTGGAACATCCTCATTGTCCTCCGACTTTATTGAGTCTTCCCCGTTATCATCCGGTTTTCCGACATAACTTGAACCAAGGTTCTGATTTCCAAAGCGTGTTTCACTTGTTGGGTTAAAAGATGAAGAACTCTAAAATAATAAAAGTAATGTTCAAACCCCTCCTTTTTAAAATCTATCTGTCTAGGCATTGATAAGAAAAAACTACTTAAGTTTATAGATCAACACAAATTATTATTTTTTAAGTTAGCTAGTTTAGATGAATTTAATGCAAACCTTTATAATTCCTTCAGATTTTGCTGACATTTTTATTCATTAAAATAATGAACATTTGAACATTCACTCTGAAATATCCAAAACACTGTTTTCTATTGAACATTAAATCCTTTCAGAAATAGGACTCCAATGGTTAATTTTTGCTGAAAGCCTTCAAGGTCTTTTTCTAGACCAGTTGTAAACCAGGAAGAAAATTGAAGAATATTTCAAAACATTTTTCTTCTTTTCATTGTTAGTAAACCCAAAGATTTTTGAAATTGAAAAAGAATCATTACACACTGCACAACTTCTTAACACAGAACACTAAAGAGTCTGTCATTGGGGAGAGGGGATTTAAATACTATTCATACATTGAAAATTCACTGCAATTAAGTCAATGTTTGACATAGCTTCAGTTTTGTTGACAATCATTTTGTTAGCTAGTGGCTGCTAGAATTTTCATAAATATACTGTTCAGCAGATGATCTGGGAAGTATCAGGCCAATACTGAGCAAACATAAAAACTCCTCAAGAGAATACACAACTAAAACTTCAAACCTGATCCCTGTCTCTAATAATCTGTATTAAAGAACAATAATTTTTGTAGTGATCATCTTTGTTGACAAAGGCCAGCACTGTGAGCAGGCAGACTCATGGTTGATAAATATTTGGTCAAGCTTGCATTCTTAGTACTTTCTTAATGTTGTACAATATGTGTACATAAATTGGCATGTTCAAAATTTAGCGCAATCACTGGGAATGGAATATTGGTGTAATCATGAATTAGTGCTTATACACAGGTCCAAGCTGTGTATGTATTTATAAATGATTTGTAGGGAGAATTCATGCATTGTCAGCTAGTGCCAAAACTGCGAAAATATGACCACAATTAGTTTGAAACAGGATCATGGTAGACCCTTAGATTTGATATTCACCATTGTAAATAAAGTTTGAATTCTTTAAATTAAAAGTTTTTTGACTTGTTGGCAAATACTGGACAATTCTTTTTTAAAAAGCTTGCTCTCTTCACAGATGTGCTGGCTTGCTACATTGAAGTACAGAACATTATGTTATAACTCACTGGCCCAGTTTCCTCTGCCTTCTTTCTGCTTTATTCTTTCTTTCCTCCATTTCCCTCTTTCTTTCCTCCCTTTCCTTTTCCTTTCTTTCTCTCTCTTCCTGCTCCCTTCTCAGTCTCTCCTTCCTCTTGATCTCTGTGATCTTCTCATTCCACTGGCTATCACTGCTATGGCCTGCTTCTGCCTGATGTAATGGATCTTCTCCATGTGTGTATTCACACTGTCCTTCATGAAGACCTGAGGATAAAAAAACAACTATCTAGTAAGTTCTGTTACTTTTTGCATTTTGTTGTTAAATTCTTGCACTAGCTTAAAATTAAGACAGAAAATTTAGATATTTTTATAGTGTACCCCTCGCTTGAATTTGTGAAAAGCAGAGGTATATCATGATTTGGGTGTCCATCTGTCTGTCTGTTATGCTTTCCAGAGCAAAACATGGACTTTGCTATTATAAACGATATGGGAGGTGATGGGTATCTTTTAGCTGAGACTGCTCACAGTACCTCTAGTTTAATTTGAAATCTCAATTATGAAACAAAGAGAGCTGATTTGCTTTATAACACTTAATAAAGTCAGTGAATGTTCAAAGTAGACCTGATAATTACCTTGTACTTCCCTATGATATGGTCTCTTAGATCAGAGGGGCACAAAGAGTCCAGTATGGATTTAATGGTATCTTCTCTCTTGTCAGATACTTTGATGGAAAACAATGGTTTGTATCTAAAAAAAAAAAGAAGTATAATGCATTTAAAATTTTTGACAGTACAGTGTAAATAAATTGTACAATTTACATTTTGCAAATACTTTTTGACCCATTCTTAAATTCATCCAAACTTAGTTGCCTTGAAAGACTTAAAGACTAACCCTGTCTTTAATTGTTAAATTTTATTTCAATTTAAATTAAATACACTTGCATTCTTACGAGGTAAGGTGACATGCTAGTAAATAAAACAGACTAAGGGGAAAAATCCTGCATAAAGTATTTTCTTGGTAATGAGAACATAATTCTAATTTTCTGTTTGCCTTTGTACAACAAATGTTAATCTTATTTGCAGACCTTTTGATGAAATCATCCATAGAGATCCTTGCAGAATACCCATCCTTCCTTATTACATATCTCACATTCTATTGTACTTTAGCTGGTCTCGCACCATGACTTCATTGAAGGTGTCTGATGCCATGCTGGTGTTTGGTTTGATACACCTGTGTTACAAACCCAAGATTAAATATAATCAATCCAAAAGAAATCTACATAATGTTCCTAGTATTTCACTTTATTCTAAATTAGTTATGAAGACGTAAACATAATTCTAACCTCACAAAATATGGATCTGCCTGTCTCATCTTTTGCAATAGCTGAGAAACTGATTTCTGAAGAGTGAATAAAAGCACTTGTACATTTTTTTTCAAAGGTATTAATGTAATTCATGTAAGTTTTTTATCTTTAACACTAGAAATATGTCCATAGGACATGAATGCCCCGCCGAGGATATATTAGTAAAGCAACATGAAAATTTGTATGTGTATAAAATTTGATCAGAATATCTTGAATAGTGATGCAGCTGAATTGCTTGTTTGGAAAATATAGGTCAGATCCAGCATCCGAAGCAAGTCTGGTAGTGTCCATCCCTAGATGCATCATCCATGCAAGTTTGGATCAGGTAGGGCTTATAGTTACTTGGGAATGAAAATAAAGGTCAAATCCAGCATCTGAAGCAAGTCTGGTAGTGTCCATCCCTAGATGCATCATCAGTGCAAGTTTGGTTCAGGTAGGGCTTATAGTTCCTTAGGAATGAACCTGCTCCAAAAACTTGAACCTGGTCACTCATCTGGAAAATGTAGGTCAGATCCAGTATCCGAAGCAAGTCTGGTAGTGTTCATCCCTAGATGCATCATCCGTGAGAGTTTCGTTTGGGTAGGGCTTATAGTTCCTTGGAAATGGACCTGCTCCAAAAACTTATACCTGGTCACTCATCGGGAAAATGTAAGTCACATCCAGCATCCGAAGCAAGTCTGGTAGTGTTCATTCCTAGATGCATATCTTTGCAAGTTTGTATCAACATATGAAGTTTGATAACACCATCTTGGTATGTTTAAAACTGAGCTAAACACTAATTTGAGAAAAGTGAGGTCAAGGTCAAAGGAAAGGTCAAGGTCATAAAATGTTGATGCAGTTGCATAGCTCTCATCAATATCTATCTGCATATGAAGTTTGATGAAAAATATCTTGGATAGTTTCTTTGAAACTTAGCTTTGAACAGAGCTAAACGCAAAGTGTGATGGAATGACGGAAGACGGACATGACAAACACTATATGCCCCGGCCATATTCATGGCGGGGCATAACAAAACCATTTCATATCTTGACTGTTAAGAGGAATTTCCATTATTTTTACCTGAAAGTAACTCATCACTGTTTTGTGGTCTTTTGGCATATAGATGAGTTCCGTTGGTTTACCGACCTTCCCATATCTATAAGGTGATTGAAAAGAAGGATGTATAGAACAATACTTAAAAATTTTTTTGGCAAAAGCATCACTTTATAAATGCCTCCCCCTTCTTACTTGTCCTTGAGGGTGCTTCCCAGATCAGCAGCCAGCATCCTCCCCCTGTCTGTCTTTGGTCTGATGGAGGCTCCCAGGCCTGGTACTTTCCTGGACATCCTTATATTGGCCATGGTACTGAAATCAAAATAATTTCATTTATTACTAAATGATAGTACACAATTATGGACTTTAGTGTAAGTTGATTTTGGTTTACTGGTTACAAGGACCCATGTCAAGTGATATTGACCAGAGACAAAAATGATACTGTAAACCAATTATCATTTAAGACAACTTTTATTCACAATTAGTCAGCTCGAATTCTATCAATAATGACTTATAGGAAACATTCGACATAAATACACAATGAAAAAAATAAATGCAACTAGAAGTATTTGTGACAAACATAAAATCGCTAAATTCAGGTATATTTTTCGCTGGCATGCTTGTCAATAAAACTTTAAGTAATAGCGGTGAAGATTAAGGCATTAAGAGTCCTCTTAGATTGTATGCAACTGTTTACTATTTACTCAGTATTACTTACTTAGATATCGTTCCAGTGTCTCCTTTCTTGATGGTAAACAAGTCTGCAATGCAATCGTCTGTGCTTTGCTTCATCACCTTTTCCAGATCCTTGTTCAAACTGTCTCGGTTCTTCTCCAGTATGTTGTTACAGTTGTACCACACCTACAAGCATAAATATTTGTAAAGGTATCTAATAATATTAAACTGTACATCATATTAGAATTTATTTTTTAAATGGTTCATTGCGGAGAAAATTTGTATACCAGCACGGAGACTATACATCTTAGATGTCAGCAGAGCTTACTTTTGATCTCAGTCTCACTGTTCCACAATTAAGGTATGTATAGACAATTGCTTGTATTTTCAATGCATAGAAAATATCTCAAGAGTGCATGTTAACATCAAATGCAGTGTTCAACTGAGTTATGTACTTGATTATTCATATAGAAAATTACAATCAAATCACCCTCAAACTGTAGAAGGGGTAGCATTTTGTAAAACTAGATAGACCTACAGAAAAACAAAGAATAGGCTTTGTACATTTTACCATCAAATAAGCTAGCTCTTCTAAACTTTGACCAGAAATGCTAATGAAAATGAACTTACCACCCCTGCAAAATGTTTGACACCGAATTCTGCCCTTTCACCCCTTGGGAACGTGAGGAGGTTGTGTAAAGCATGACTTTTGTTGAAAGTTTTTTTCAGTCTCTCCACAAACTTCAGATCAGTACCCTGAGCAAACTTGGATTCCTCATCAAGACACGGCCAAATCCCAATTGTCTGCAATAAGTAAAGAATAAAATGTTGTATTTTCAAAAAATGAGTAAAATGTTCCATTGGTGTTTGAAGAACAATGTGAATATATATTACTTTTATTCTAAAAAGGTAATTTGGTCCAAGAAGAATATGAAAAAGGAAAAGAAAAGAACAAGAAGAAAACTGACAAAATCAATGTCTACCCTTTGACAGGGAGGCATATTATATAAATACATGTACCAGTTATCAAGCCATTCTTGACTGGTAAAATACTTGATTTTACGATTTTACAAAATCTCTCTAACATTGTATAAAAATATTTCAAAAATGTGTTGGTTTTAAGGATAAAACTTAAAGTACATGTACTTAAAATAGTAAACCAGAGCTATGAAATATGTTGTATATGATACGTACCGAAAGTTCAAATAACTGTATAACATCCAGGTTGTCCTTGAACTCCACTTTATCCTGAGGTATTCCTTCAGAGTCATAGATCTGTTTTTCTTGAATGATCACAACTTTGTTCATGAAGTTTTGCAACCTTTCATTCACAACGTTAATGCACATTTGCTCAAAACTATTTGTCTTGAGCTTCTCAAAACCTGCAATGTCTAGAACACCAATCTCTGTGGTTTCCTTCCTTGCTCTGTAACAAAATTCAGCATTTTCTAATTTTTAAAATGAAATTTTTTTTCAATTTAAATATATATATATATATATACTGGTCTTATCAAAATATCTAGAATGAAAGAATCCAGGCAAAGTCTTTTAAAAAAAATTCTTTATAGGGGTTTGAAATTTGACTTGCCTGAAAATTATTCTATTGCTTAAGATAACATTCGCTACATGACCGTTTCTATGTAATCCTTTGCCACTGGTCATTATGGAAAGAGCATATATTATAGTTTAACCAACTTTAAAATACATAAAACAATTTACTCTTTCTTGCGAGGGTGCAGATTGTTGTTGATTTTCTTCACAATCCACCCAAACAGTCTCTCGTACATGTGTTTAGCGAGGGCGTCTCGGCCATCTCTAGCTTGGTCCAAACTCTTAAATACTTTAATTTCTTCACCTGTTTCAAATAAAAAATGAATATTTTATTGATAACCTTAAATTGAATTATAAGTAACTATAAATAACAAATTCAGCTGAAGTACATTGCATGTAAATACATGTATTACATGAGCTTTACAGGTTTTTTTTTTATGTTTTTCTTCATTTAAGTACATTTTAAGTAATCAGTATACATTTAAGCAAACTCATGTGATATTAATTCCATGTTTACAAAACTTTTGAACATTTTGAAATCAGTTTCATTTGGTAAAATGGAAACTGCAGTTTTGTAGAAATTTTACTATGTACATGTAGTACATATTGACTGACAGTATTTACTTTCCATAGAAATTATAAAGTTAAATGTCAAACTCAATACTATTGAAGAAAACGTGTGAAGGTTGAAATGGCTGCATATGTAGTACTGATCAAAAACAGCATTGAAAAAATATTAAAAAACGATTCCAGTAAATAAGCAAAATCCATTTGGTATTTTGTTTGCTGAAACACTAATATACTAATTAAATAAGTACCTTTGTACAACTGCAAATCATTGATTTTAATCCAAGCAAATAAAAATGCATTTTCTTATTTGTTTAAAGCACACACTTTTCCTACTGTGTGAAAAATCTGGATTTTTTTCTAAATAAGCAAATTCAAAAGAAAATCACAATAGCCATGAAAGCTGATTAATTAAAACAAGAGGCCCCTGGGCCTTATAGGTCACCTGAGCATTATTCAACAACTTTCCAGTGACTGAATTTGATCCATGTTTTAAGCCAGATGCTATAGCATTTACAATCTGGTCATCATAACTATACACTTAGCAGTTCCTTAGTTTGGTTACTTTATACCCATAGGCAGGGTAGGGGAACAAAAAATGCATTTCAACTAATCAGTAATATTCAGCAATAATCAGTAGTGCCGCTACCACACATGAACCCTTGACTCTTAGGCCTAGATCCACACATTGCACTATTTTTGGAAAGGCATACTTGCTTTTCAAAAATATTTGATTAATACCAAGGAGCACATTTCAAACAATTCATTCATTTTCAGTACATAAGTACGAGTACCGCCCCCCCCCCCCCCCACTATGGTACAACTGACCCTGGGGCCTTGAAATTTACAATTCTTGAAGATTAGGGATTGCTCATAACTATATAGGTAATTCATCTGCTTAAAACCTAGGAGCAAAGATGAAAATACTCAAAGATTTAATGTTTTTTCACTATACATGTATAATCAATACAGCCCCGCCCTAACACCAGAATCCCTGACCCTGGGGCCATAAAATTCACAATTTTGGCAGAGGCACTCTTGTTCATCATAACTATGTACTTAGTTAGTTTATTTAATACCCAGGAGTAAAGAAGAAGATTTTCAAAGAATTCATGTATTTCCTCTATATAATCAATAGAGCCCCACCCTGACACCAGAACCCCTAACCCTGGGGCCATAAAATTCACAATTTTGGTAGTGGCACTCTTGCTCATCATAACTATGTACTTAGTTAGTTTATATAAAACCTAGGAGCAGAGAAGAAGATTTTCAAAGAATTCATGTATTTTCACTATATAATCAATAGAGCCCCGCCCTAAAACCAGAACCCCTGACCCTGGGGCCATAAAATTCACAATTTTGGTAGAGGCACTCTTGCACATCATAACTATGTACTTAGTTAAATTATATAAAATCTAGGAGCAGAGAAGAAGATTTTCAAAGAATTCATGTATTTTCACTACATAATCAATAGAGCCCCGCCCTAACACCAGAACCCCTGACCCTGGGGCCATAAAATTCACAATTTTGGTAGAGGCACTCTTGCACATCATAACTATATACTTAGTTAGTTTATTTAATAACCAGGAGTAAAGAAGAAGATTTTCAAAGAATTCATGTATTTCCTCTATATAATCAATAGAGCCCCGCCCTGACACCAGAACCCCTGACCCTGGGGCCATAAAATTCAAAATTTTGGTAGAGGCACTCTTGCTCATCATAACTATGTATACTTAGTTAGTTTATTTAATACCCAGGAGCAGAGAAGAAGATTTTCAAAGAAATAATGCATTTTCACTATATACTTATTTAGCCCCGCCCTAGTACAAGAACCCCTGACCCCAGGGCCATGAATTTCACAATTTTGGTAAAGGACTCAATGCTGATTACAATCATGCAAACAGTTTGACTGCTTGATGTCCAGGAGTAAAGAAGAAGATTTTTGAAGATTGCATTAATTTTAGTGGTTTTGGCCCCACCCCCCAGGCCCCAGGGGGGCAGGGACCATGAAATTCACAATTTTTGTTCCCCTTCATCCATAGATGCTTTGTGCCAAATTTGGTTGAAATTGGTTCAGTGGTTACAGAGAAGAAGCTGAAAATGTTCAAAAGTTTACGACCGATTGACGACGAACGACGAACGACGTACGACGGACGACGACGGACAAAAACAGATAGCAATAGGTCACCTGAGTGACTCAGGTGACCTAAAAATATTATATTGTAAAATTTTTATTAGAAAATTTTTTAACAATCATGTCAACTTTAAGAAATTATAAATATTCAAAGCCAAAAAAAAAAATAAGTGCCATATTCCTTAACAATCAAATTAGGCAACTACATGTACTGATCATGAAAGCTGAATTCTTGTACCTGAGTTACCATGACCTGAATGAATTCAAATTCAAATAAATAATTATGCACTAGACTTAATGTGCTTCATGCTGAAAAACTGTATTATATTATTACTGTAAGATATTTATTACAGTACCTTATAACCTAGAGGCCCATGGACCGTAATGCTCACCTTAATTTCCCTGTTCCTAATTTCTTCAGACAATGCATGGCTACATCCCACCACTCGGCCATGATTGGAACAAAGGAATGTAATCTACACTACCTCTACCCCACATTAGTCTTTAGAGTTTGAATTTTTTTCAGAGTCTTGATCATTACCAAAACATAATTTTAAAATGGTATTAAAATTTTCATAGCACTTAATTATTTATAATTACATAATTTTATTAGGTAAGTTTTTTGTGCTTTAAAAAAAATACTGATATGTAGAGACTTAATTTTGTGGATGAAGTACTGAATTGTTGTATGTTTAAAAAGTAACATTTCATGTGGAAGACATGAATTTGCGGACCTCTTCATACCTCCATCCCCCAACCCCTTAAAAAACAACAATTTAACCCCAACACAAAAGTTATGGCCCTATGTAGTGGATTCAAAAAAGTCCTTAACTTTCATCCCCCCTCCTTCCCCAAATTGACTATAGACTCTGCTTGAACAAGTAATATGACATAAAACAATGTACACATATCAATCTTTTCATTTTAATATATATACATGTAATAATTCAAATATGTCACATATCATTTCCAGAACTCCAAGGACTGGTAGATTATATGATACTCCTAAACTGTTCACAATAACCTTACCTGCCATTATTGTAGTGGAAGATATTAGAGCATGTCCGAGTGCTTCACAGTCTACATCTAGCAGCTCAGCGGCTGTAAGGAAATCATTTTAATGAAAGAATCAAAGTCTTCCAAAGGTCTTAATGTCCTAGATATTTCTATCTGGTGTGCTTGATATAAAGACATGCCATACACATTTATTTGAAAATTAAACTTCTAAATCTTACATAATTATATTGTATTGCTATGCAGAATGAGATAAATTGTATTATAAGATAGATGCGTGAATCAACTACTGAAAATTTCAATATAACATATCCAAAATTCATTCTGATTCGATGCCTTTTATACAAAACGCAGATATCTCTGGGAATTATCAAATAGCCTGCCCTAACAGCAAGTAAATTCAGGTTAAAGGTTAGAAATCATCAGAATACAAGAGTAGCTTCAGCCCAATACACTGTCTTACCATGCTCAACCAACTCTGTATCTACAATTTTCAGTTCCCCAGAATTTTTGTCTGTCTCTTGAAATTCTACTTGACTTAGGTGCAAGATGGCTGCCAGCATACAGGTCATGACCTTTCTGTCCTGTTACAATACAATGAATTTAAAAAATGTGAAAAAATAATCCCATATGTGAAACATAGGTAATCCGAGATTACAGAGCTCACCTCCACAAATGTTGTCTTTAAGTAAGGCAAAATCACACAATTAACCAACAAAAAGTGCACATCCCAAAATGAAAATATTTATGCAATTTTGATCTGATACTTCGGAATAGACCTATATAAAAACTTCAAACTAGTTCTTTTTCATGAAATTGTAGTTAAAATCCAGCATCTGAAGCAAATTTGAGTTTTCATCCATTGATGCATCATTTGTGCAAGTTTGGTTTAGGGCAATGTTATATAAGCCTTATAGTTTTTTGGTAGTAGACCTGCACCCTTACCTTTTACCTGGTCCATTATCTGAAAAATGTATGTCGAATTCAGCATCCGAAGCAAGTCCATCAGTTTGCATCCTAAGATGTATCGTCCATGCAAGTTTGCTCATTATAGGGCTCATAGTTACTTGGAAATGAAACCTGCATCAAAACTAACTTTTTCACTTATCCACAAAATGTAGGTCAGATTCAGCATCCGAAGCAAGCCTGGTAGTATGCATCCTTATATGTATCATCCATGCAAGTTTGATTACTAAAGAGCTCATAGTTACTTGGAAATGAATCCTGCACCAAAAAAAATTATCCTGTTCACTCAACCATTAATTGTAGGTCAGATTCAGCATCCGAAGCAAGTCTGGTAGTATGCATCCTAAGATGTACCATCCATGCAAGTTTGGTCATTATAGGGCTCATAGTATCATAGAAATCAAACCTGCATCAAAAACTTTAACCTGTTCACTCAACCTGAAAATGAAGGTCAGATTCAGCATCCAAAGCAAGCCTGGTAGTGTGCATCCTTAGATGTACCATCCATGCAAGTTTGGTCATTATAGGGCTCATAGTTACATGGAAATGAAACCTGCACCTAAAACATTAACCTGTTCACTCAACCTGAAAATGTAGGTCAGATTCAGCATCCGAAGTAAGCCTGGTAGTATGCATTCTAAGATGTATCATCCATGCAAGTTTGGTCATTATTGGGCTCATAGTTACATGGAAATGAGACCTGCACCAAAAACTTTAACCTGTTCACTCAACCAGAAAATGTAGGTCAGATTCAGCATCCGAAGCAAGCCTGGTAGTATGCATCCTTAGATGTATCATTCATGTAAGTTTGGTCATTATGGTGCTCATAGTATCATTGAAATGAAACATGCATAAAAAATTTTAACCTTTTCACTCAACCAGAAAATGTAGGTCAGATTCAGCATCGAAGCAAGCCTGGTAATGTGCATCTTTAGATGTATCATCCATGCAAATTTGGTCAACAAAGGGCTTATAGTTACTTGGAAAGGAGACCTGCACCCAAAACATTAACCTGTTCACTCAACCAGAAAATGTAGGTCAGATCCAGCATCCGAAGCAAGCCTGGTAGTGTAAATCCTTAGATGTATCACCCATGCAAGTTTGGTTAACATAGAGCTTATAGTTCCTTGGAAATGAGACCTACACCAAAAAACTGCACCAAAAATGTTAACCTGCTCCAAAAACATTAACCTGGTCATTCCTCTGCTGAAATTGCAGCATCTGAAACTTTGACTGGTACAATGAAACACACTAGAAGCATCTTCCATGCAAGTCTAATCAATATAGGACATAGAAGTACTTAAAAAGAAAACTGCTCCAAAAAACTTAACCTGGGACACCGACGCCGACACCGACGCCGACACTGAGGGTATTACATAAGCTCCCCCAACTTCGTTGAGGTGAGCTAAAAAGAGAAAATGTTTACAAGACTAACCCCCCCCCCCCCCCCCCCCCCGCCAACACACACATACATTCTCCAGAGAAAAGCAAAAGATCATTATCATGAAATTGGAAAGTAAAAACTTATGCTGCAACTTATAGCTCATCAGAAGTCAAATCAACTTACAGCTTCTGTCATCCCTATCTGCCTCAGAGTTTCCATGTTTTCTTTATACTGTTTGGCATAATGTTGTGTCAATCGTAAATTGTCAATACTACCCAGTAGTATGCTAAAAATAGAGAGAATACATTGAACTTCTTTTTCTGCATGTGTTTAAAGTTTAATTAATATAACGCATGCTACATGCCTTAAAAATTAATCTAAAAATTAACACTTTATTTGCAGTCTCATTTTTACTTGTATGATTCAGGCTTCCGAAGGTACAGAGCTTGCTTTTCCTCCTGTGACATCCCAGCAAGCATTCCATAGAAAATATGGAAATTTCCCTCTCCACAATCCTGGCTTCTTCCTACCACTCTGCATTTCTCCAGCATGTAGTCTTTGATCATGGCTAGAAATATCAATTAAGATTACATGTAAATAATAATTAACATTATTTTACAAGGGATAAGAAAATCAAATTTATCTAAATTGTCCATCCAAAACATAATGTTATAAGCATATTTCACCATGACATACTTAATTAAGCTATTTGCAAGATTTATTGTACTCATCATTAATTTACTGGCCAGCATCATTTCTGTTTCTTTTAATTGCGTAATTCCACTAAGGTACCAGCCAGTACTTGTTCTTACCCCCAATCACTTGTCCATCACCTCTAAAACTCAACTCCAGAAATTTGGCAAATCTACTGGAATTGTCATTCATGATTGTCTTGGCATTCCCAAAGCTTTCCAGTAAGGGATTCACCTATTTAAAAGTAAATATACATGCATATCAATCAGTGGTACATTTTTGAAAGAATGATAGCTGAAATTTATGAAGTTCAGATATGCTTAACCTTCTTCATTTGCAAAGGACTTAGAGGACAGTCCTATATTCACCTTACCTGCATCTTTTGACAAAAAACTGCCAGGTTTATGCCTTAATATTTTTTTTTAAAATATGCATCCAATATAACACTTAAATGGTCAGAGCTGCATGTCCATAAAATTTTTTTTTTCCAAAATATTGCCTAGGATTTCCTGATCCAGGAAGGAGGGGGGGGGCTTTTTCTTCAAAATTCAAGTTGAATATGTTGATATAAAACAAAATTTAAAGGCACAGTGAAGATATTATTGTCTGACTATTTGTCACATGCATCCCTTAATTGTCAACCAAAAACCTTATTTTTGCTTAGATTTGACACTAATGATGTGTTTTTGTGGTGCATATTATAGCAGGTTATGGACTTGTTTGATTAAATACTTTTGGTTGTAAAAATGCTTTCAGAGCTAGGGGACATATCAGTGAGGCATTATGCAATTTTTAACGAATAATAACTTAATTTAGTTTGGCCCCAATTGTTCAATGTGTTGTGAGATGTGTATTGTTTCATTATGTATATAATTAGTAACATTAAGTTTCTTGAACATTCCAGAGTGGTCAACATGTTTGGTCATTTTATCTAGAACATTCTTAAATTTTGTGTATGTCCAGATTGTTCCAGTAATATCATGTTTTAACAATTTCTAGAATATTCTAGATTTATATTACTGTATAAATACCCTGTCAATTCGATGCATAGATACTCTTGTCGTATAAGCATCATTGAGGTATTACTGGGATATAATTTCACTGGGACATTGTGTGCAGCAACGGACACTCTGATGTATGTATTTTTAGATTTTTGCTAAGTTTGTACTTAATGATTTGTATATTACTGTAAATAAATTATTGTTAAGTTTAAACTGTGTGATTGATCTTTGCTGGCATTTAGGGTTATTCTGACCCATAACAGAATTGGGGGCTCGTCCGGGATAAAGAATTTTGCACTTTTGCAGTTTATTGTCAGAATTTTGTTTATTGAACCGTTAAATTTGACTATAAGCCAGCAAATATCAACATGGTATTTTCGGTCACAGACTTTCTTAGTTCACCAAGTGTTCAGGTTTTTGATACGTTAAAAAAGGATGACTTGATCGCATTAGGTTTACATTTTGGGTTAGATGTTAAATCCTAGCTCTCAGAGAAAGCAAGACATTAGAATTAAGGTTGCAAACAAACTAGTAGAAGAAAACATCTTTGAAAAATATGATCTTCCAGAATATACAGTTAAATCAGAATTAGGCTCTTACAAAATGGCAGAATATCAGTTTCAATTAGAGTTAGAGAAAATGCGATTAGAAAGAGAAAAATTAGAAAGAGAAGAGCGAGAAAGAGAAAGAGAAGAACGAGAGCGTGAACGAAAATTTGAATTAGACAAATTAGAAAGAGAAGAACGAGAGCGTGAACGAAAATTTGAATTAGACAAATTAGAAAGACAAGAGCACTTTGAGTTAGAGAAATTACGATTACAGCACCAACCAGAACCGTCATTTGTCAAGAATGAATTTGACGCAGCAAAAAATATTAGGTTAGTTCCGAAATTTCAAGAAAAATCTGTAGACAAATATTTTCCCCAATTCGAAAAAGTCGCAGAGAATCTTAAATGGCCACAACACGTTTGGTCAACACTGTTACAAAGTGTACTGGTTGGCAAAGCAGCTGAGGTATACTCTGCACTAGGGGTAGCTGAAAGTTCAGACTATGAGAAGGTCAAAGCAGCAATATTAAAAGCATATGAATTAGTACCTGAAGCGTATAGACAAAAGTTCAGAAAGTATAGAAAGTTTGATAATCAAACATTTGTTGAATTTTCACGAGAGAAGGAAGATTTATTCGATCACTGGTTTAGATCTAAGAAACTTGATAAAACTTTTGCTAATTTGCGCCAAGTCATCCTGGTAGAAGAGTTTAAGGAATGTGTTCCTCAAGATTTGAAAACACATTTAGAAGATAAGAATGTGAAAACTCTTGAAGAGGCAGCAGTCATATCTGATACTTATGCTCTGTCTCATAAAAAGAATTTTGTTTCAAGATCTCAGACTAGCAGTAATTCTACCAATTCAGACACATATAAAAAGAGTGGTTCAGGGTCTCAGTCTTTCACAAGTTCCCAGTCTCCATCCCAAGGTGGTTTTAAGTCCGGTCCAGGACGTGTTGAAGGATCGTTTGGAATAGGGTCGCTTCCTACTTGTAGTTATTGTAAGAAAAAGGGTCATCTGATCAGTGAATGCTTTAAACTTAAGAGAAAAAATGATTTTGATAAAACTCAACCAAATGCTTGTGCGGCAGTTAGAGGTGATAGAGAAGCCTTAGTTTCGATTTGTTCTGACACTCCTGATGTCCAGGGTTCACAGTCCAGTTCTATTGATTCTATGGAGGATTATAAGCCCTTTATGTCTCAGGGATTTGTTTCACTCGGTGACTCTAGCGAAATAAAACCTGTCCAGATTTTGAGAGATACTGGTGCTGCACAGACGTTATTGTTAGAGGGTGTGCTTCCTTTGTCTGAGCAGACTTCTACTGGTGGGTCAGTTTTATTACAGGGTGTGGAGCTAGGCGTCATTGATGTTCCCCTGCATAGAATTAGTTTGAAGTCAGATTTAGTTACTGGACCTGTTATCGTAGGTGTTCGACCTACTCTTCCCGTTCCAGGCATTTCTTTGTTGCTAGGCAACGATTTAGCTGGTGGAAAAGTTGTACCAGATCCTATAGTTTGTGAGAAAATCACTCCAGATGTCACGTGCGATGATGAAGATGATGACATTTATCCAGCCTGTGCTGTTACTAGAGCGATGGCTAGAAGACGAGAAATGGAGGCAGACCATACTCAAGCCTTTGACGAGACGAATTCCTCTGTTGATATTGATTTGAATGACACTTTCTTATCTGACCTTAATGGCACTCAAACAAACATGGAACCACACAAGATCAAGAAGCAAAAGACGACAGACCTGTTACCAACAGTTGGTGGTGAGGCTGATGAGTTTCATCCACTAGTTAGCAAAGGCAAGGACATCCTCAGCCGAGAACGTTTACTCTCTGAACAACATAGAGACCCAGATATCATTCAACTTAGTAAGAGGGCACTTCCACCAGAAGAGGCTACTAAAGTTGGAGAATGCTTCTATATGAAAGATGGCATCCTTATGCGAAAATGGCGACCACCTGACGCATCTCCAGATGAAGTGTGGCGTGTTGTTCACCAGATAGTGGTACCCGCTGCTTATCGTCGAGATGTCATGAGTTTAGCTCACGATACACCTATGGCTGGTCATTTAGGTATCAATAAGACTTATAATAGGATTTTGAGTCATTTTTATTGGCCTAAGCTAAGAAAGGATGTTTCGAAGTTTTGCAAGTCATGCCACGTCTGTCAGATGGTAGGTAAACCAAATCAGAAGATACCATCTGCTCCTCTCCAACCCATTCCAGCTTTTGAAGAACCGTTTAGTCGAGTGTTGGTGGATTGTGTAGGACCTTTGCCTAGGACCAGATCAGGAAACCAGCATTTACTTACCATTATGTGTACATCCACTCGATTTCCTGAAGCCATACCTCTAAGGAATATAAAGGCAAAGAGCATAGTTAAGGCCCTTACCAAGTTTTTCAGTTTTGTAGGAGCACCCAAGGCAATTCAGTCGGATCAAGGCTCAAATTTTATGTCGGGGTTGTTCCAGCAAGTCATGCATGAATTGGGTATAAGGCAATATAGATCAACTGCTTATCATCCTGAGTCCCAGGGAGCGCTAGAACGTTTTCATCAAACCCTAAAAACAATGCTGAAGACCTATTGTTACCAGTATGAAAAAGACTGGGATGAAGGGGTTCATCTTGTACTATTTGCTGCACGAGAGGCAGTCCAGGAGTCTCTTGGGTTTAGTCCTTTTGAATTGGTGTTCGGTCATACAGTTAGAGGTCCTTTAAAATTGTTGAAGGAAAAGTGGCTGACTGAGACTAGTGATCTTAATCTTTTAGATTATGTGTCTGATTTCAAAGAAAAACTTTACAATGCTTGTAAATTAGCACAAGAAAATTTGAAGAGTTCTCAGATGAAAATGAAAATGTGGTATGACAAAGATGCCAGAAATAGGGTGTTTAAGCCAGGTGATAAGGTTCTTGTATTTTTACCTATTCCTGGTCATCCTTTACAAGCCAGATTTTATGGCCCTTATGAAATTGAAAACAAGATCAGTGATGTAAACTATGTAGTTAAGACACCAGGTCGACGTAAAGAGAAACGGGTTTGTCACATTAACATGTTAAAAGAGTATTTTGAAAGGTGTGACCGAAATTCTGTAAAACCAGTTTCCACTTTAGCCAATGCTAAGACTGTTCAAAATTGTATTGAAAGTGATACGAGTAAAGAAATGAATGAGAAAGAGTGTAATCAGAGTGTCCGCTTGAAAAACTCAGAAATTTTGGCTGATTTTGATGCCAAACTTGGACATTTGAACATTCACCAAAAAGAACAAGTTAAAAACTTGATGAATGAGTATCATCAAATCTTTTCGGATGTTCCAAAGAAAACAAATGCAGCTTGTCATGATGTTATAGTTGGCGACGCTCTGCCCATCAAACAACATCCGTACCGTCTCAATCCAATAAAATTGCAGTACCTAAGAAGGGAAGTGCAGTACATGTTTGACAATGACATTGTTGAACCTAGTAAAAGTGATTGGAGCTCACCGTGTATTCTTGTACCAAAACAGGACGGTTCCTTCCGATTATGTACAGACTTTAGAAAGGTGAATTCTGTTACCAAAACTGATTCATATCCAATACCTAGAATCGATGACTGTATTGACAACATTGGAAACGCGAAATTTGTCAGTAAATTTGACCTTTTGAAAGGCTACTGGCAAGTGCCTTTAACAGAAAGAGCAAAAGAAATATCTGCTTTTGCTACACCAGATGGACTTTACCAGTATAAAGTAATGCCTTTTGGCATGAAAAACGCACCGGCTACATTCCAAAGGATGATTCACTCCCTCTTTCAAGACCTCGAGGGATGCGAGGCCTACATTGATGATGTCATCATATACAGCAACACATGGGACGAACATGTCCGAATCATGCGTGCTTTATTTGACATTTTAGCTAAATCAAACTTAACTGTGAACCTTGAGAAGAGCGAATTTTGTCATGCTTATGTAGAGTATTTAGGTCATAAAGTAGGTCAAGGTTATGTTACACCCATAATGGCTAAAGTGGAAGCTATTGCAAAGTTCCCGATTCCTACAAACAAGAAAGAATTAATGAGGTTTTTGGGCATGGCTGGGTTTTACAGAAAATTTTGTCCAAATTTTTCCTCAGTTGTTAGTCCACTTACAAATCTTTTACAAAAGAGGGTTAACTTTGAATGGACAAAGGACTGTGAAAAATCGTTTCATAAAATCAAATCTGTCCTTATGAGCAATCCAGTTCTGTCAACTCCAGATTTTTCTAAGCAATTTAAGCTTACTGTTGATGCTAGTGATGTTGGAATCGGGGCAGCTTTGTTTCAAGAACATAGTGATAAGGTAGATAGAGTTGTTTCTTATTTTTCAAAGAAACTTACAAAATGTCAACAAAAGTATTCCACTATTGAAAAGGAATGCCTTGCTTTGTTGTTAGCCTTACAGCATTTTGATGTTTATCTGAATGTTACTTTGCATCCAATTCTTGTATATACGGATCACAACCCCCTGACATTTTTGCATAAATTGTCAAACAAGAATCAAAGACTGACTAGATGGAGTTTGTTGTTACAAGAATACAACATAATAATTAAGCATATCAAAGGCAAAGACAATGTTATTGCAGATGCCTTGTCCAGAGTATCATAAACATATTAGATTTTGTATTAATGTACAAAACTTTTATTTTAATAATATAAGTTTTCATTGACATTCAAACTTTTTAAGGGGGGAGGTGTTGTGAGATGTGTATTGTTTCATTATGTATATAATTAGTAACATTAAGTTTCTTAAACATTCCAGAGTGGTCAACATGTTTGGTCATTTTATCTAGAACATTCTTAAATTTTGTGTATGTCCAGATTGTTCCAGTAATATCATGTTTTAACAATTTCTAGAATATTCTAGATTTATATTACTGTATAAATACCCTGTCAATTCGATGCATAGATACTCTTGTCGTATAAGCATCATTGAGGTATTACTGGGATATAATTTCACTGGGACATTGTGTGCAGCAACGGACACTCTGATGTATGTATTTTTAGATTTTTGCTAAGTTTGTACTTAATGATTTGTATATTACTGTAAATAAATTATTGTTAAGTTTAAACTGTGTGATTGATCTTTGCTGGCATTTAGGGTTATTCTGACCCATAACAGAATGTTGACATCTTGTAGAATTCTTACCAATGTACCTTGATAATTCTGTCACTATCGTGTATATGTGTACCTTGATAATTCTGTCATGCAGGTCGCCGGACTCCTCTGGACACATGTGCATGAAGTGCTGCACCATATACTTTGTACTCTCGGTTTTTCCTGAACCAGATTCACCACAGACCAGAATAATTTGGTTTGTCTGGTTCTGACGCATCCTGCTATAGGCCCTTGCTGCCACTTGAAAGACATGTGGAGGCAAATTTGCCTTGAAGTCTCTCCATCCATATTCTTCATGATTCTACAACATAAAAATGTAGGTATATTAACTGAATTTACTCAGACAAACTTTTTGGTATAAAAACAATGACATACATGTACATCTACATAAAATTTGTCAAGTTAATTTTGTTAATGAAAAAGAGTTTGATAAAAAAAAATTAACAAAAAAAATTTAGAAAAGAAATGTTTCTCTCCTTAAACTTAATTAGTTACCAATTAATAAATTAAATTAATCTATATAATAAATTTACTAACAAAATTTTAAACCAACAGCTTTTCAGTGTTGCCCTCAAACATAGGACAGATTTAGTCTAGGATCTGAATTCAACTGCTCTTTTCATCTATACTAGATTAAAATCTGCAACAGAAATCCAATTTTCCCTACTTCAAGACATCTTAAATATAGCATAGTTCACTAACAGTTTGATATGATGTAGGTACAAGTTAATGTCTACTGCAGTCCAAACCATCAATGAAATAGTATAAATGTTATTGTTATCCATTGGTAAATTACCAGCTAGTATCCCTCAATGAACGGTTTAAATGAAAGATTACAGTGCACTTGATTGTATCCATGATTGATATCATTTGAGGATACGAAAAGACATAAATAATATATCATCTAGCAAAATGCCACTTTTCTACACTTTTTTAAGCATGGCTATTAGCATGATACATCATAATTTTCATTTCTACATGTGGCGTGTTGCATGGTTCAACATACATTTGTTGAACAAGTTTCGGAAGATATTTTCCAGCTCTTTCTAATTCTAAATATTAACACTTTAGGCTACAAAAACATAATCCATCGATTAATCTCCAGATATTGTAATTAAAAAGAACATTTTAACTGTCATTTTAAAGTAAAGGTGTAATGATCAGTGATAATAAAATAGTTGAAAATGATGCAACATCTCAAGACCTTTTTTTTAGTTGCTGACGGAAATTCTGTACGTTTTATTGAATTAAAAAAAATAGACTAAAGGGGTGGCCAGGTGAAAACTAGTGGACGATAAAACAATAAGCAAGGAATGCACTGATCTCTGCGAGATCTCGTTGAGATTACTCGATCTGACATGAACTTCATCATGTTTATCACTACCACTACCAGGCACATGGAAACCATGATGGTGGCCCTTAGCGTATATTTATCTCATTAGATATATATGTACTCACAACCTTCTGGGTTTTCTTTTAATTAAAACTGCGCTTTGTTCTCTTTCAAAAAGTTAACTGCATACTTACACTGACCCAAAATTAACTTCATTTCTTTTTCGACTTAAAGTTAACACGCTCGACCAGAAGAAAAAGTTATGACGATTTCTCACCTCCAACACTAAAGATCTGATAAATGGGAAGTAACTCATTACCTTTTTGTCGTACAACGGTAGATCCTTGTAAGGGTTGACGGCTATCAAAATATCACCAACATTGGTCTAAAATAAAAAAGAGAACTCCTATTTTATACATTGTACAGAAAAGAACCTTTTCAAATGCATATTGTATAGGCCCTATATAAAGCGTGTAAGGGGAAAATGATTACATGGCCATTTCATTGGCATCGGAAGCAAATTGAAAGTGGGGGAGACCAAAAAAAAAAACCTGAAAAAAAAACTGGACAGGCAAAAAATAAAAAGAACACTTGAAAACACTTTCTATATACCCGAAAATCTTATTTCGTGGTACGCGTGGTTGAAGGGTTAATTAACATAGTTAAGACTGAACTTCTTCCAGTACTTTTTTTTTTTTCAAACGCTACGTACCAACTTACTGCATGCTTACACTGCAATATACCTATTGGACACTGTTGAAAGTGGGGAGGCTTAACCTACGTCCCAATGCTGAATTATGCGCCTATGTCCTGTTTATCTTTACAAAAAAAGTGGGAGGGCTAAGTCCCCCTACCCCCCCCCCCCCGGTCCCGACGCACATGATTTGACAATTATCAGATCAACTGGAAAGATGGAGGGATAAAAATTAATTGGCCTAGCTATTAAATAGTTATTGTCTTTTCCCTAAAACTTTTAAAAGTGGGAGAAAGTCTAAATTGACCTTAGGACCTATGAATTTACCATTATACAGACTTTTGGTGCAAAGTGCTTGCAGTCAAATAACATCGAGGGGAGGGGACATCCCCCCCCCCTTCATTTTCCACACAGCTTTTACATATGTAACTATTGAAAATGCATATTTAAAGGCTCGCTGTCCCTTCACTTTTTTGCACCATAATCAATTAAAAAAGGTAATGTAGTAATATATGTAAAACATTTGGTACTGAAAGAGCTAGGTTCGCCTACCATCCAACCCCCCGGCCGAGCTTGCCCCCCCTTTTTTTTTTTATTGCAATTTTTTCCGGTAAGGTTTTTTTTTCTCTGGCTACCACCACCCTCCCCCACAGCCCCATTTTCAAAAACGATGCTACGTCACTGCAATGAAGAGTGCAAAGCTACGGTGTTTATATAATCGGTAATATATTAAAATATATTTTAAAACATATTGGGTGTTTGGCCTTTCTTCTGATCTCCACGTATCTTCCAATCTTTTTTCTCATTTATCTCCCCCCCCCCACCCCCAGCGTCCCCTCCTTTGTACTCTCTTCGTGCATGAAATCACGATTTACTTAATTTACATGTACGACCTCAATTATTTCATGTACTTATGTCTCATATAAAAAATATACGTGTTGTAGAAGAAAAACGTATACTGAACAATAGATTGAATATGTGTTCATTATTTATACAAGTCGTGGAATACACGGCAAAGTCAATTATCCGTTTAACTTTAAGAATGTCAAGGCATTTAGTCTATTGATTGAATGCTATAATGTTCTGAAATTAATTGGATATGGGCCAATATACATATATCTATCTGTATATTTATATATTACTTCCTAGTTCCATCAGGTCTTGAATGATTCTGGAATTGGGATGTTCTATTTTATTTTGATTGCATAAATTGCGTAAAAAATTCAGGTCATTATTTTCTGAAACGTAAAAAAAGAATACCATTTTATTTTTAACTTCTTCTTTGGACAATACTTTTTTAGTACTATTAGGAAATCAAAGAAATATTTTTTAGGCCGATATGTGTATTCAGTATATAATTGATCACAGTCAAGATCTTTAAAAAATGACACAAAAACCTAAATTCCTATTCAGGATTTCTACAATTCACTAATGAGATTTTTTTTTTTACAAAAAGTTTATTCTCTTAGCCTTTGAAAACAGACACCTTACACATCGATGCTTTCATGTGCTCTTTAAAGCTACACAACTGCACAAGTGTATTTAAATATATCAAGTACACGCAAACTACGTTTCATTTTCGTAACCTTTTTAATTGGTTTTCCCTATATCCCAAATATAGTCAATTGTTTCTGACTGGGTAGATCTAAATTTAAAAAAATATATCGGAATTGATATTTTGCAATTTCTAACAATGAAGGATATTTTTACTTCCTGGTTTGGACATTAATTCTGGTTACTGAACTCCAAGCAACTGGGAAGAACCTGGAGATCTTGAGAATGTTTAAATCTCACATTTCTCTTTGTTCGATATTAGAAGACCTGAATATATTAATATTTGTATTAAGTTAATTGTACAATATTCTATTACAAATGCATGCATTTCAACCTTTTTGGCACTGTATCATTTTACATTATCATGCACTTAATGCATGAAATTGAAATTGACTTTGTCACGTACTGCATGAGTATCTATTTTAAACATTAATGTTGCCAAATAAAAATTGTACAATCATGTTAGGCGATTTTTATTTGTTTATCAAAAACAAAATGCATAAGCTGTAATTGACTGATAGATCTTGTAATAGCAGTCTAGTATTTGTCTAAAAGAGATAAACAACAATAACTTTCATGCACATGCATATGGTCATCACTAGCAAATCATTCAGGAATATACAATGTACTATGATAGTATATCAAACGCCACAAGTCTTAATGAGTTTGCGCATACTTATTCATTCGATCCCTTAACGGATTTTTTTTTAACCAACAGGTTAAACAAAATGATATGGTATTTCCTTAAATAATTGAAATATCATCTTCAAAAAAATTCCTCTATTATATATAATCTTCTTTTTTAAAAATCACATATTATTTCATTTGTTCTTTATTATTTTATTTATTTTTTTGTACTAAATCTAGAATTCAAGATATTTATTAGAACTTGTAATAATTTTATAAAAAAAAAAAAAATGTCTCTACCATATATAGACAAGCATTGATTGATATATAAATTTCTTTTAACTTATTCAAAGCAATGCAATTCATATCGACTCACAAAATATCAAGAGAGAGAGAGAGAGAGAGAGATACATGTATATATATAGAACCACTCTAAAATGAAAATACTAGAATAACTTTCTTTGTGGTATTACTTACGTAAATTTTATCCTGTTCATATCTTCTTTTTACAGCCTGTAAAATTGACTCCTCCGTGAGATCGTCAAGCTGGGACAGGTCACAATCCTCCATTATCCCGACCCCCAGGGATAATTTCAACCTTATTTTTGAAACTCGAAAAACACGATGACGTCAGAATACGCACCTTCGAAATCGAAACAACGGTAAATCACAATGATAAAGGAATGGGCTCTTTAATTTTTAAAAATCAGAAATTCTTTTTCAAATACTCCAACACAGAAAAGATATTTACAAAGCCATCCTAATTATTTAAAGAAGTCTACATAAAGTATGCAGATATTCTATAAGTCCATTTTGGTAAACATCCAAACACGACCTCGAAATTTTGGCCTGCGAACTATCTCTCGCGACGATCCGCTCTGATGGGCTCTTTTTATTCGGGTATATGCTATTGATAGTCCAGCAAACCTGCAATGTTTGAAGAATGCCTACAGTTGTTATGTATTGGGTTACATTGATAATTTAAACTTTGCAGTTTGCAGTTAAGCTAAACTTGAAACAGGAAGAAAAAAAGATTTAAAGAGAAGATACGGGTGACTGCGCCCTTTCTTTCAGCTATATTGTCTCTATGTATATTTTTCAACAGTACAGCACGTACTAACTACGGGTATTCCCCAAATTAAAAAAAAGAGAAATTACGGGATACTCCCATTCACTCCTTGCTAATCCTCAACTTCACTATAAATTATTTTGTGCAAGGTTCTTTCATAGAAATTAATAAAGGCATCCAGGTATGGAGCTCGCGATAGGGAAAGAGGGTGGTCTCCGTAATAATTTTGCCAATATATATTACTTCTTTGTCTGTGATCTCTCTATAATAACATCCGGTGACCTTTTTTCTGAGGTTGTCAAGACATTTTTGAACAACATGGCTCTCATCCTGACTGACAATAAGATCACAGTCATAGAACATTTTTATGTTGTGTGCCAGTTTGGTTCATTCTCTTTTTCCCACTACACTAATTCCTATCTAAAAGAACATGCTAGACCTGTAAATTTTTTTTTTACATAGATCAAATGTTTGAAAAAGATAATTACATGATATTTACACGTTGGAATTTATCTTTCACAAGCCTTTTTGTGAAACTCTCGGTACAAATAACTAATTCATTCCCAACAGTCAAGTTTTGGTATGGTCGACGAAGCTTGATAAATACGTGTAGCTACATATATTTTTAATTAAACATTTCGTCTTAATTATGCACCCAATGCCTGCATGAGAACACTCTGCTTGATTTAACAACAAAAAAATTGTAAAGGTTTTTCTTTATATTGAGCAGAAAATTGAAATATTCGATTTTAACCGCATGCACATAAAGAGCGCATTTTAAATGCGTTTTCAAACGCTCCTATGCCATATTTCTTTCAAAGGCAAGTTAAGAAGTGCTGATGGGTCGTTTGCGAGTCAAGAGACAAGATAATTTAGATATTATAATGGCGTAAGCTATACATGCTCCACTGTTCACAATTCCTCTATATGCATGTTAAAAGAATATTAAGTATTTTGTCATACCGATTAAAAACACATTTTGAAATACTTAGTTCATAAATTTGACTTTTAAACACTCGAAGCCTTAAGAATTTTCAAATTCTGATTTAATTAATTTTTTAAAGTTTTCCCAGAACCTCTTATTTCAACAATTAAGATGTGTTTGTGAAACACTGATGTTTGACAGCTTTTTGTGAAGATTTGTGTAGTTTTCAAATCAAACTGCAAGATCAAGGTCAACAAATCATATTTGTTGCATTGCTTTGTCATGGTCGAAGGGTTAAAATAACGCGTAATTGTAGCCAGGGAAAGACTGTCGTACGAAAAACACATGTAAAAATAAAAGTCCTTGCAGCAAATCCTCAAAAGTTATTACAAATGTTAAAGTTTTCAAAGTAGGCCAAACTCCATGTCAAGCCAAAAGGTCAATTTGTTAAAATCCAAAAGAAAGACTTTTAACGAGAAATACACTTGTGAAATGAAGGAGCCCTGGTGCTAATTGATGAAAAGTTATGACGAAGATTAAGTTTTTTAAAATTATGTCAAACTCTAAGGTCAAGGTTAAAAGGTCACAAATATTTATACTACAATATTTAATTAAAAAAAAAAAGCATCAATTTTTTCAAAGAGTTATGGCTAACGTGAAAGTTTTTTTTTTTAAAATTGGTCAAACTCCAAGGTCAAGAGTTCATATATGTTGGTACCCATAAAATTAAAGGTCTTGACACAAAAAGAAACATATGGAGATAATGAACAGTATTATCAGAACAAAATCCCATAAACAATACAAAATAGGAGAAGAGTAAAGAGTAAACGTGGACCTCTAAAACATCAGAGGTGGGATCAGGTACCATGGAGGAGTGAGCATTCCCTGCCGACCGGTCACACTCGCCGTGTGCTCCTTGTCATGATCGGGAAATAACGGGAAAATCCGTCGTCAATTCAGTCTATAAATAATGGCCAAGAACAATTAGTATGACACTCGTCAGTCAGCATTTGACTCAATAAATTGCATTTGCTGACAAGGTCATTATATCGACCATTGAACGTACGAAATGATCTGTTGAAATTCTTGTTTCATCAACTTGTTTGTCAATAATATACCTAAATTGTTCATATGCAGACCATGCTCTTGCGTATCGAAATATACTTGTGAAATATGAATGCATAGGTTTCAGCCAAAAAAAGATATGGACAATGTTAACGTTTTTGCGAACAAACAGACAGACAGTTAGACAGACAGACAGACTGACAGGGCAAATACTACATGTATATACATGTACCTGCGAATCCATAATGAAATTTTTTTATTACATTCTTTAAATTTATTAATTTCCAGTTGTGTTTCAATTTGACGAAAACAAACTTTATTTTGTTTTCATAAGCTTGTAAAAGCTATGAAACAAATGACTGTGCTTTACCAATAGTGTATCTAATTGAAACTATTTTAATATTGTATGATATATTTTTTTAATATATTATAACATTATTTCTCTTTTCATATAGATTTACCTCTCTCCTTTTCACAAACTAAAATAAAGACTTAACTTTAAAATTTATACCTGGACAAAATTCCCGTTTACATTTGCACAGATTTTTTTCTCTACTTATATTTCAAATAAGTGCAAAACGGGAACAAACCGACAAGGGGGATCTGCCCAGAGAGCATTCACAACATTTGAAATTCGAGTTAAGCATAGTGCACGTGATTACTAATAAAAAAAAAATCCACACCAGAGCCTTAACCTTGAAAACAAAAAGGAAGACATGAACCACTCATGTTTCAAATTCCCATCAGTCCGGAAAATTTATGACATTTGCTTTAAACTGAAGAAAGGATTTCTACAATTTTTCACAACCAGATGAAATCATATTCTTAAAAAATCAAAATTTGGAAATAAACTGTAATAATCACTGAATTGAAATAATGAATAAAAATATATTATACAAAATTGAAAATAGCTTTTACAATTTTACGGAATTGTTTCAAATATTTCATTAAAAACAAAACAATTAGGTTCACGAATTTCGTACTTATACATGTATATATATTTCTCTTATGGATGCTCCCTTTAAAGGAGGAAAAACCACAGGCACTTGTTTCAGAAATAATTTTTATCCCATAGTATAATAATAACACTTATTATACTATGTGCTAAAAATTATTTCCGAAACAAGTGTCTGTGGGAAAAATCCCTACCTCAGTTTTTGATGATAATTTTTTAGGACAATGTGTTAACAAAAATTTCCCACCTAATTCCAATCAAGTGCGTGTGTACTTCGTTTGCGGACGTGGAGGTACTTTAATTTAACATGTAACCTTGAGAACTAAAACAATACAAAGGGGAAACACGCGACTATTCATTTTCAAATTCTTGCTATCAAAGATATTTATCCTACGAAAGAAAGGTTTTGAAGTGTGGAAATTTGAATATTTTCCCCTTGTCTTTTTCGTAAGGATTTTATCCTTTATTGTAAGTGCTATTTTGTCACACCGACAATAAAAAAAAACTGCATGTGTTACAGATTTAATTTCAGTCCTAAATACATGTACAATCAAAATGTGTAAAAATGGCCATAAGCACCATATTCTCATGGGCGCGTGCACACGTGTAACTGTCCTAGCATTAAAATAGCATAAAACTATATATTATGTAGTATGTACAGTGAAAAACCTGTTCGAAAGTTTAAAAAAAGTTATAATTGACCATTCATTCATTCTTTGGCCAATGGGGAAAAAGGGTGAAATTAGACGGTAATAAAATTATGCAGTATACGAGCACAGGAACTTGGGGTCGGGACCCCCCCCCCCCACCAATGTTCCCTACCCCAAAGTTTCTTCTACTTTTTTAAAAATAAAATATTTACTGTCCTAGCATAAATAAAAAAAATCTATTACACTATAGAGTGACATTTGTCGAGAACAAGGAATGTCAACGGAAGTAATGTCCTTCTAGCTGTTGTCACTCTCGTTTTCTCTCTTCAATGAAGTGCTGACGCCCGCGTGGCGCAGTGGTTAGAGCGTCTTCTCTAGAGTCGCGAAGTAAGGAGTTGATCCTTACGTTGCAGGTTCGAATCCCACTGTGGGACATGGAGACCGGTCCTTCCGATGAGACCGTATAAACCGAGGTCCCATGTCGCAGTAGGTGCTGGCACGAAAAAGATCCCTCCCTCCTCAATGGCCCTAAGTGCCAAGTACAAGAAAAAATTTGCAGCTCTCTACCGGCAAGTGGTGGCGTCTCCATATAATTCTCGAGAGGGACGTTAAACAATATACAATCAATCAATCAATCAATTGATTAAGTGCTTGTCCTGAATGGTCCTACCAGATCATATTACGGCCGCCCAAAACATAATTTCTCTACTAATTAATTGGCTAAAGACTATACTATCACTAGTTGTATACTGCAATATGTTTAAAAATGTTTTCAGCTAAATTTAAAATTGTTTTTCCTAATTTCATTAACTTTAGGAATTGAATGTTGAAGATCACTACAAATACTTTATGGAACATTGACCTCCTCACCTAAAGTCAAAGTCAAGTGTATCTTCCATGGGTTAAAACAAAGGAGATCTGTAGGACATGTCCCTAGAATGGAAAAATTCAGGATTCCAAAAGTCTTACTAATACGGACACCACCAAGAAAAAGACCAAAGGTAAGACCAAAATCCACCTGGCGCAAGACAGTCGAGCGTGAAGTAAATGACCTTCACCTGACTTGGGGAGCGACAGAGACCGTGGAAGCAAAGAGGATAGGTAGGTAACAAAATTATTTCATTGACTTCCTAGATCTACAATTTAAATGCAGAATGAACATAATCATGATAAATGACCTAGAAAAATATTTTAACTAAATTACTGTTTTGCA